CCCCCCCCCCCCCCCCCCCCCCCCCCCCCCCAGTAAATCCATCCATGTTCGGAAGTGACAAATAGCAACCAATAACAATTATAAACATTTCTTTAGTAATATTAATTAGTATAAAAAAGTTAAAATGAGCAAGTATAACCTTTAGGATGGTAATAATTATTATCCGCCATTAAAATGGCCGCCAAGCAGGTTTGGGCGCACAATGCATTGTGGTTGATGACTCTTTATTTAAGTTAATCAGACTAATTGCCCATGCATCCTGTTAACATGTTGCATTTAAATCCAATCAGGGTGTTAGCCAGGCGGCCGTCCAACCGTCCTACGGACAGCCACTTCTGAATTCGGACAGCTAAATTTTAATGGACGGCGCGCGCCATGGACGGCCAAAGGGAATATTTTCTTTAAATAGCAATTTACAAGCTTTGTAATATTTCCTGAATACTTCGAATTGTTGTCATCTGCTGTTTACTTTCCTTATGGTATATGTTTTCATACTTTTTCCCGTCGAAAACACGTTGAATATGGCTGAATTAAAGTATCGACAGACGCGTGTGGATTGAAAAGTAAAAAGGTTCAACGAATAGAACACCACAATTCCACAACAACAAAAAATTGTGGCCATGCCCAAAAACATGTGATCACCCCCACAAAAATGTGTGGCCACGCCCACAAAATTATTTTGGACGGCCACTTTTGAAATCCTGGCTAACACCCTGAATCCAATCATGACGTATGCCATTTATGAGCAGTGGCAATCAACTTTGGTTGCAGTGATGTGTTATGTTGAAAATTATCATTAAAAAATCTAAATGAATGACATCACCTTGACATTATGACATCATTATAAAATTGGTATCAGTATCAGGTAGAAATGCCAATCATAGTTGTAATTATTGCATAAATAATCAGTATTAGAGCCAAAATGCAAAAAAAGTCCTGCTTCTGTAGTCTTTGTGATTTTCTGTAATTTGGTCTTTTTTCTGTAGCTATTTATCGATATATCAGCAAATACAGCAGTAAAATTTACATTTTGTATCCTTTGCTACAAATTAGCGCATAAAGAAAAGAACTAAATGTTATCGTGGTATTTGCTGATAAATTGGTAATCACTACGAAAAAACAGAACAAATTACAGAAAATCACAACAGACTACAGGAGCGGTACAATTTTTGTATTGCGACTGTAATCAAGCACTACATGTACCTATTACGGGTAAAACATCAAATTATTATTAGTTAATTTCAGCAAAATTACATGAATTAGACACTTTTTTCCATGAAAGGTAATATTATTCAATATACCAGGGCTGCAAATAAATATTTGACTTGACAGGACATTTGTCCGATTACTTTTAATTTTGGTTGGACATAACTTGAATTTGGTCCAAAACCACTAAATTTGGTCGGACATATATACGTCACAAGATATATATAAGTCACGAGACAAGAATGTATAGCCATTCCGGTGCAACGTTAAGTAAAATGCTAGAACGCCTCGTAAATTTTAATGTGACAAAAAATGTATAATTATGTGACAATTTTTTACCAATGTCCGATCAAAATTACTTTTGCTCGGACATTTGCCAAATTTAGTTGGACATTGTCCGATGTCCGACAGTAATTTGCAGCCCTGATATACATTTTCATATTTTGAACTTTTGTATTGTTTTAAATCTTACAGTACTTTGTGGATATAGCTTACCTGGGCCCCAGAAATGCTATGAAAAATAAAATATATGTTTAGTTTAATATTAGTTTTATATATAAATAAAACAAAACATTGTATTACTTTATAAAATAGAATTTAACAGACCTGAGGATGTATAAATGCAATCTTGAAACCTTGCAACTTACCGTACTATAGGAAAAACACAAAAAGTACTGACGTGAATAATGGTGAAACCTTTTTAAAAGGTCCTTTTTAATAGTGCTTTCACAATTTCACACTTGAGCAATTTGTAAACATATACATTTATAAAATTCTCTATAAATACCATGTGTTCGCTCACCTCATTAAATATGTCCTAAATTCTTTGCTTCTTAGTTTAGTAAACACTTGATTAAATATTCTAGATGCCATATTTTAATACTTTTAATTTGTTTTATATTCTGAAAATGATTAATTTTAATACAAACTACAAAGTATTTGTCTTCGAGTCAGAGAAGTGTTCGAGTTTTAATTTTATATAAAATTTCTAGATTCAACCCCCCCCCCCCCGGATTAACAGTGCACCTCGGCACCAGGCTTTTTTCTGACACGGCCACCAAATTCAATATGGCGCCCAATCTCGTTCCCCGAGCCTGCGATCCTCCGGAAGGAACGCGAGGCTCTGGGATAATCCGTTTCAGGGAGGAATCTGATTGGCCGTTGAAATGGATGCGTAGTTCAATCAATCTTAGCCAGAATTCCTGGCTTCCGGCAACGGATTATCCCAAAGCCTCGCGTTCCTTCCCGAGGATCGCAGGCTCGGGGAACGAGATTGTATGGCGCCCAACCTCGTACCCAGGGCTTCTGCGCTTATTGAGAGCAATAAGCGCAGAAGCCCTGGGTACGAGGTTGTATGGCGCCTGACCAAGGAGTGCCATAATCATAATCCTATGTAATGATCATAATACAGCCGTATAGTTTGGTTTTTGTTTGTATTAAATGTGGTATAAATAGCATGTAAAAGTAAAAATTATCTGCGCTTCAAACAAATGTTTCTCCGTGCAATGAAGCGCATATTTTAAGTAAAAATTATTTTGACGATAGCATTTTCTACGTTAAAGTTGATAACTTCTTATTAGCTCGTGGTTCGAACCTCTGGTGGCACGCCATATGTGATACAGTATTTCGGAACAGAATCTACTTCCTTCGATACCAATGGCAATGTAATCTAATAATCATGATTTTTCTGTGTACAAATGTGTACAGTCTTGTATAGTCTTATATAATGTCATATAGTCTTGTATAACGTTGTATAGTGCTGTACAGTGTCGTATAGCCTTATATAGTGTTGTATAGTCTTGTATACTGTTGTATATAAATGTTGCATAGTGTCGTTTAGTGTCATATAGCCTTAATATGATTTTTTGTGTGTGTTTTGATGTTATGTAAATTATGTAATGTACTGACTGTACTCAGGTGGATAATGGATATGTTTTTTTTTTATGTTACTCTGAGTGTATATCCGCATCGGGCAGGCTGAAAAGATAGCCTGGCGACGGTGGGAATCAAACCCGCGACCTATGGGTATTGGGATACTAGTCCAATGCCACAGAATAAGGTACACAGAAGGCTGACTTCTTGGCTTTTCCTATGATTTTCCTATGATTTTGGCGTAACCCGTAATTTGTCATCAAATACTGACGCCATGGTCCTAGCCAGTGCGCGTTTGAGAGGCATTCACCCCCCTGATATTATTCAAAATGGCGGACATCCAGGGGGATGCCTCTCAAACGCGCACTGGCTAGGACCATGCCGTCAGCATTTTGATGATGAATCATGGCGTGGCAGCGGTTACTCGAGTCGATCTTCTGTGTGCCTTATTCTGTGCCAATGCTCAGCCAATCCACACTACAATAAAACTAGTTTCATATTTTCATGTAAACTCGTCATATGCGCATCACTGTTTTTTTACAAAGAGACGCCTGGGTACGAGGCAGCTGAGCTACGAGGCCATGTCTGTTCGAGTGTGTGGACTGGTATTTCGGAAGTAACTTACTAGTATCCCAAAGGTCACGGGTTCAATTCCCACCGTGGTCAGGCTAACTTTTCAGCCTGCCCAGTGTGGATAAATACTGGCACCCAGAGTAACATCAAAAACTTTATATTCAAACCTGAGTACATAACATCAAAACACACATCATGATCATAGAACACATTGGTATCGAAGGTACTAGACTTAGTTCCGAAATACTACATGCACATTCGAAAAGACGTAGCCTCGTAGTTCAGTTGGCAGAGCATTGGACTCGAAAAGTTGCGGGTTCGATTCCCACAAAGAAAAATCATAATCGTGCCGTATCTTTACCGCATATCTATATCGATCGTTTTTTGAAGCAATTTAAAACACGAGCTGCAGTGTTTTATCAGACCTAAAGATACTCGGCTTCGCCTCGTATCTTTACATTATCACTTAACGTATGACGGAACCCGAATTAAATGGTCGCAGAATCTTCAATCACTAACGAATTTCGTTGAAAATATTGTCGGCCTACGAGGCAATTGGTCATCACCTGGTGGTAAAGCTAAGAGGTTTACCAGCGTAGATTTTGATCTGATCGCGACGTGGTACCCGGGCAAACAGAATTCGCTATTATTCCAAGGAAAGGATGGTGATCTGCTCAAGAATTATCTGGTGAGTGTCTTGGATATAACTTGTATTGGCCAAACAACCACGGATACGGACACTGATTTTATGACCAACATAGCGGATTCGGTATTTGAAACAGAGACTGCAGAGATATCTCCAGTTAAAACATGCGAAATTATCACTAACAATAACCCGGCAGTTACTGAATCGACCCCGTTGAAACATCTCAGTTGGTCGTACAATACTTTTACCAACGATATGAAAGGGGTTAAAGCGGACATAACAGTTATTCAAAAACAAATAACATCTATAAACAATGTTAATACCTCTATCAACGCGATTATAGAATCTATTAGTAAAGTTTTGGACTCTACAGAAAACCGTCAAATATCGTACGACACCAGAATGGAGACCTTGCTTAAGGAGTTTTCCATAATTTTAGACGAGAAAAACAGAGCGATAAACGAGCGAGATATCACTATTAAACAGCTTCAAGCGAATTTGTCAGAAATTGAAAATGATAGAAACTCATTAAATCTTAAGAATTCACCAACAAAGCATGTTTACAATAAAAGTAAGACTGCATCGCCGCCAATGCAGCCCTTGATGTGTCAAATGAATAATATTGAGGATTTAATCAACTTGTCTAAAATTAACGATCTATGTGATATTGAAATCGATGTCTTGGGCGATGCATCCAAATCTGATGATATGCTTCTAAGTCCAAATAATTCTACTATAAAGGAACTTGAGGCCTTTATTGACAAGTCTTTCTATAGCGCCTCTGTCGAGCTATCTAATCCTGTCCAGCCGACGGACTTCTCTACTCTAGCGCAAAGACGCTTTGAAGAAAACCTGCCTAAACCCGAAGCTCAATTTCTAACATTTAAAGAAAATGTTGAAACTCGGCTGCAAGTTTTGTCGTACAAACTCTTTGAACAGAATAATACCATAAATATAAATAAACAAGAGCTATGCAAATTGACCTGCAAAAATTTACATCTTAAATCACGTATCTCGGAGTTGGAGGGGAGCTTGTCGCCAAAGAATACAACAAATGGGAGTAGTGACCTGAGCCCGTGTGAAAAAATAGTTAAAGGAAATAATATCTTAACTGCGAATATAGATGCTTGCGCTATTTCTAGTCGCCTTTCACCTGGAACAGCTGCATATGTCGATGACAGCGATGAATATGCTATCTCAACTGCGAATGCCGATGCTTGTGCTGTTCCTAGTGACAGTCCACCCGAAAAAAGTGCACATGCTGATGACGCTTCGGCCCCTATAAGTCAACAGTGTGGTGAAGATAACAACGGAGAATATGATAAAGAGACTTTGAACCGGACTGACAATATCGTCAACCCAGAACGCACAAAAAAGCTCGTAAAGCGCGCCATAATGTGCAATAGTAAGTCAACGATATGTCAACAGAAAATGTATGGGAAATCCCCTCTTCAGGATCGGACAATGCCACAAGATTGGTTAAATTATCTCCCTTTTGTAGAAACCGGTCAAGAGGAAAATGTTAATTCGAATGTTTCGATGCAACTAGATTATAATCCTACGAGAGAGAATCCGGTAGAAACGCTACCATTGACTAAGATGTCACCTCGGACTATTTCTCATAATAATACCAACGTTATTCCCGATGAAGTTCTACACACGCCTATTGCGTTACTGGGCGCTGATTCTAGTAATGTGTGCATGGAAGATCAGTTAAAAGCATATCGACGCAAACATCAAACGGTAAACCGCATAAAGCAATGTCTAAATCCCATGCAACCCAAAAAGGTTAGTTTTTTTAAAGAACAATCAAAACCATACTGTGGTAGAGTTAATAAAACCCGATTCCAGACAGAGTATAACCAGGAGTTTTTTCGGGAGGGAAATGCGTATCGACACACGAACGACTGGCTACATCACTTAAATCTTGTTCGCCGATTAACACAATGACAACACTCCAACAACGGCACCAGGGACCGCACCACCCTTTAACTTTACCTATCCCTATCCCTGTACGAATTACTAACCGAGACACAATCGCATCACAGCGTAACCCAATCGCTAATGAACTTGTAAATCCTGAGCAATTGCGAAAAGTCAGACATACCAAACAAATACCAACAACATTGACATCAGCCAGAATTCATAATCCTGCAAACTGTGTCCAAATTACCCTCGCTACCGCGATGGAATCAACAGTTGCATGTGCTCCAGAAAATGTATTCGTTCCAAGTGTTCTCCTTTCCAATGTGATGTCCTTAGCGCCGAAAACTGATGAGATTCAACATTGCGTTGTGCACGCAAATGAACGCTTAAAATTTGAGTCTACGTTACCCTCCACCAAAATACCAAACCTTTTAATTTGTAATCTCCGCTCCCTGACGTCCAAGGTCGACGAACTTGACGCTGTGGTGTCTTTTAACCAAACGGATATGGTCTGCATTACAGAGACTTGGTTATCTCCTGCAATTCCTGACAACTTGGTATCCTTGTCCAATTTCAATCTGTTTAGGAACGATAGACTGGTTTCAAACGGCGGAGGTGTTTGTGCCTACATAAATAGCAATATCTATTGTAGACGAATTGAGGAATTTGAAAACTCTTCGATTGAATCACTGTGGTTATCAGTGAGACCAAAGAAGCTACCCCGCTCTGTCTCGGTTATCTTACTGGCTGTTGTTTACCATTCAACAGCATCCCGCCAAACTGAAAATGTAGAATTGTATTCACACATTCAAACCAATGTGGACTCATTTTTATATTTCCACCCTGAAGCTTTGGTCCGAATTACGGGCGACTTCAATTTTAGAAGCACGGGTCTCGATGCAAACCATCTTAAAAGAATTGCTGGTCTGACGCAGATAGTCAAGGTAGCTACCAGAGCTGATGTAACTTTAGACTGGTGTTTAACCAACTCAAAGGTGGATAATATTTACGAATCAATCCAACTTCCTCCCATTGGAACCAGTGATCATTATACGATTCTTATGAAAGCCCAACCTTCTCGTGGGTTAAAGTTTAACCCACAACTGTCAGGAAGTTTGCTCAGAAGTTTAGTTTAACCACGGTTAATAGACTACCAGCAACCGGCAATGTTGTATTATTCAAATTAATGTGGCAAAAAGCTCGGCCATAATATCCGTGCAGAGCCATCAGTAGACGACCAAGTTGGCGATTTGCTTGGAAAATGGCCGATGACCGACTGTTAGATTTAACAGCTTACACCACCGTCATCCAGCCACCCTTGATTTTGGCTTAGACTTAGTTTTAAATTTGTGGAAATGACTTACTAATATATCTTGTAAGTTTTGGCATTTTTTGCTGTTTCAGTTAAGGTGTACATCAAATTACTTCAAAGAAAACCTCTAAAATTGACAACGGATGCAAATTTCAAGTGTTGTTCTACAGTACTTGTATCTTGCTCCGAACTGGATTTATATCACTTGGAACCATCTTGGAATGGCAATTTATAGGAGAGAAAACTAAACATTATTGCAAATAGTAGTACAGCACAGATATTAGTCGGCTTGTACCATTGACAAGCAAACATGAAAGTTAATATAGCCATATGGGATGGATGCCATCTTTTTTATGGTTATAACACTTCAGAAAAGATACCATGCCCAAATGGTCGGACTTATGATCTACCCGATCTACAGACGGTGTGCTGTAAAAATATAGAAACACATAGGCAACGTACTTTTTGTGCTTTATTAATCACATTTTGTCTATATATTGAATAAAAACTGTAGCAAGCGAATTGAGAATCAGAAACTGTAACGGAAAAGTTCGTAACTGTGGTTACTATGGCAACAATGACGTTT